GGAACAAGCAGTCTCTGCTTACAGGCATGAGACAAAAGAATGTAACTAGGGACAAAGAAAAACTAACCAAGTTGCCAATCTTCTAAGAACACATGGTAATCCTAAGTGTGCGTACTCCCAACAACTAGCACAATTAAGAAAATGGTTCATCACTCGTACTGATAAGCTTCTCTCACTGATCCATAGAACAAATAAACAGGACATCATTACAGATACAGAATTCACAAATGACAGCTGACTGGAACTCAGGGGAGCTGAGCTACAATACACATCTTTCAACACCACCAGAATACACATTAGTCCTGTGCACATGGAACATAGAACAAGACAGACTTTACTGTAAAATTTACGTAATCCCTAATAAATCCAAAATGACAGAAATCATACAAAGTGTGTTTTCTGATATAGTGGAATTAAACTAGAAAAACATCTGAAAAACTCCCAAATATTTGGAAAATAAGGAACTCATAATTTTAAAAAATAGAAATAAATAAAAATGAAAACATGAACACATCAAACTTTGTGAGAAACAGCGGAAAGTGTTTGTTAGAAAAATAAAATGTATCAAATAAATAATCTAAGCTTTTAACTGAAGTAACTGGGACAGGAAAAAAAGCCTAAATCAAGCAGGATAGAAACAAGGCAGAGAAGACATGAAACTTAAAACATAAAAATGAAGAAAAATTAAAATAATAGTTGGATCTTAAAAGATCAACAAAATTAGCAAACCTTTATTCAGAATGATCAGAAGTATAAAAATCATAGACTACCAGAATCAGAAATGAGAGGACATTAACATAGATAGATCCCATAGGTATAAGAGAGTACCGCTATGAACTGAACTGTGTCCCCCAAGATCCTTATATTAAAGCTGCAGCTCTACATATGGACTTGAGGCGTGAATGGAGGGACTAAGGAAGTGAGGTCATTGGGTATATCCCGTAGTTCCACAGAGTTGTGTTCTTAGGACAGGAGCAAAAGACCCTGGAGTTCTTTCTCTCACCACTTCATAAAGACACAGGAAAACAAGGCTATTTATCAGCCGGGAAGATTCTATCATGAGAAACTGAATTGAATAGCATCTTGGTTTTCGATGCCCATTTTCCAGAACTGTGAAGTATGAAGGTCTGCTCTTTAATCTGCCCAGGTTGTGACATTAATTACAACACTGTTTGGCCAGTGTCTCAGGCACATTTCTAGCTAGCTCTTACATATTTTTTTAATTTTTAAAAATTTATTCTTTGGTAATTTCACACATGAATACAATGTATTTAGATAATATTCCCCACACTGATTCCACCTCCTGTTTTGCCCAGACCTGACCCATCCCTATTCTTTTCTTTTTCCTTTCTCTTCTTTTCTTTTAACAAGAGCATGAGACTTCTTTTATTTTAAAGCACTAAGATGTCAAAGTCATAGAAACTTAGTATTTATTGAACTGCTACCTCAGATGAGGGACTTTTTAGAATTAATAAGCTCTGGGAGCCCCAACTTGTCAGACCCTCAGTGATTATGAAGAGAGTACATCTTTGTGAGCATGACAAGACCTCTAAACACCCTGAAGCCAAGACTTCAAGGGAAGAAGGAGCATTGCTTATCCACTTAGAGTGTGATCATGCAGTCTTTGTGTGGTCCATGTGGACTGAGCAGATGGCAGCTGGGGATGGTACTCACTTCTCATCTCTGAGTATTTAGAGCTCAATATATTCACACTGTCTTTGAAGAATTACAGAACTGGTAGGAACAGCAATTTTAGAAGGGATTTATACGACTTCACAAGTACAAATCCTGCTAATGTCCACAACAGTACTTAGAGTAAACATCAGGTTATGGTGCCATGGATTGTGCCCACCCAGAAGATGAACTATCTTTTAAATTAATTTAAGTTACCTCTGAATACATTGGCCACAGCCCTTGAAGCATGTTTTTTTCTTCTGGCCCTAACAGTATATTCTTTACTGAGGTGAGTTTTCATGCCTGTGCCACATCCTCTTATCCAGGACTGATGCATTCATCTAATATTGGCTACTAATGGCATAGAGTTAAAAAAATCTTTTCTGTTAAGTAGGAGCAGCCTAAGTTGGGAAACTGCTTCACTGTCACTCTTTTTTTAAACCACTAGTTAACGATTTTATTTATTTTTGTTTTTATTGAGCTATATATTTTTCTCCACTCCCCTCCCGTTCTCTCTCCCATGCTCCCAATTTACTCAGGAGATCTTGTTTTGTTTTGTTTTGTTTTTTTCTACTTCCAAGTAGATTAGATCTCTTAGGACCCTCATTGTCATCTAGGTTCTCTGGGATTGTGAATTGTAGGCTGGTTTTCTTTGCTTTATGTCTAAAAGCCACTTATGAGTGAATGCATATGATGTATATCTTTCTGGGTCTGAGTTACCTCACTCAATATGCTGTTTTCTAGATCCATCCATTTGCCCACAAATTTCAAGATGTGATTATTTTTTTTCTTCTGTGTAGTGCTCCATTGTGTAAATGTGTGTAAATTGTGTAAATGTTTCCTTATCCAGTCTTTGGTCAAGGGACATTTAGGTTGTTTCCAGGTTTTGGCTATGACAAACAATGCTGCTATGAACATAGCAGAGCCCATGTCCTTGTGGCACAATTGAGTATCCTTTACATGTACCTAAAAGTGGTATTGCTGGGTCTTGAGGAAGGTTGTTTCCTACTTTTCTGAGAAATCGCCACATCAATGCAGGAGTGTTCCCTTTACCCCAAATCCTCTCCAGTATAAGTTGTCATCGGTGTTTATTATCTTGGCCATTCTTACAGGTGTAAAATAGAATCTCAGAGTTGTTTTGATTTGCATTTCTCTGATAGCTAAAGATGTTGAACATTTCCTTAAGTGTCTTTCAGCTATTTTAGATTCCTTTGTTGAGAGTTTTCTGTTTAGATCTATACCCATTTTTATTGTATTATTTGTTCTTTTGATGACCAATTTCTTGAGTTATTTGTATATTTTGGAGATCAGCCCTCTGCCTATGGAGTTGATGAAGATCTTTTCCCATTGTGTAGGCTGCCATTTTGTCTTTTTGATCATGTCCTTTGCTTTACAGAAGCTTCTCAATTTTTAGGAGGTCCCATTTATTAATTGTTTCTCTCAGTGTCTGTGCTACTGGGGTTCTATTTAGGAAGTGGTTTCCTGTGCCAATGCATTCAAGTGCACTTCCCACTTTCTCTTCTATGCAGTTCAGTGTGGTTGGCTTTATGTTTTGAGGTCTTTGATTCATCTGGACTTGAGTTTTGTGCATGTCAATAGATATGGATCTATTTTCATTCTTCTACATGTTGATATCCAGTTATGCCAGCACAATTTGTTGAATATGCTTTCTTTTTCCATTTTATATTTTTTGCTTCTTTGTCAAAAATCAGGTATTCATAGGTGTCTGGATTGATATTTGGGTCTTTAATTAGGTTCCATTGGTCCTCCTATCTGTTTTATACCAATACCGGACTGTTTTTTATTACTGTAGCTCTGTAGTTAGAGGTTGATGTCAGGGATGATAATGCTTCCAGAACTTTCTTTATTGTACAGGATTGTCTTGGTTCTCCTGGGTTTTTTGCTTTTCCATATGAAGTTGAATATTGTTCTTTCAAGGTCTGTGAAGAATTTTGCTGGGATTTTGATGGGAATTGCATTGAATCTCTAGATTGCTTTTGATAAGATTGCCATTTTAACTATGTTAATCCTATCTACCCAAGAGCATGGGAGATCTTTCCATTTTCTGGTGTCTTCTTCAATTTCTTTCTTCAAAGATTTAAAGTTCTTGTCATATACATTTGTTTGGTTAGAGTTACTCCTAGATATTTTTTGTTATTTGTGGCTATTGTGAAAGGTGATGTTTCTCTGATTTTGTTCCCAGCCCATTTATCGTCCTTGTAAATGAGGGCTACTGATTTTTTTGAGTTAATCTTGTATCCTGCTACATTACTGCTACCCATTTCTATCAATCTATGTATCACCACAAGGTCATGGCCTATCAGTAGGCATCTATCTCCTTAAGCAGCTACATGGCATCTCTTTGACTCCACCTACTCTCTCTAGCTCTCTCTGTTTGGATTTCCAAATAGGATTTGCTCTGCTATGCCAATGGCCAATGGTATAAAAATACTTCTAGCCTACAGACGGGAATCCCACATCATACGCCTTGCATGCTACCTAGCTGTGTGATTAGTGTTTGCTTGGAAGATCCACTCTATGAGTTTTATCTTTCTCTGCCTGCCTTCCTTAATCTTCAAAAGAGATCAATCACATAGTTCTGACAATTTCACTGTCACTTCCAGGCTTAGAAATGGTACCTCTTCCAGATAATACACACATGAGGTCAAATCAGTGCTATCCATTTACATTCTCAGGCTACTGGGGCAGGGGGTGTGCAACAGGAGTCTAAGGGAAATTGTGAAGGCTCAGATGGCCTCACTACTAGAAATATCAAGATTCTATGACATGATGAGAGTCCTTATATTTGATGAAGGGATGAGAAGTTGCAAACTTTGAAGTGCAGGCCCAGGGATTCTTTAGCAACTTCTTTGGGAGGCATAGGCCTGGGTTTAGCACCAGAGGACACGGTTAGTTGATCTGCAGGTGGCTGAGCATGAGTGACCATAGTGGAAGTCTAGCACATAGAACTGAGAAGAAATAATGCACTTAAATGGGGGGCTGCTAACCCCATGGGCCTGTGGGTGCAGGAGGGACTGCCCAAATAAACAGATGGTATGGCTCTGAAAGCAACAGCCTCTTGAGGCTCAGTACATGTTCTCTGCTCCACCGCCTGCATCATGATTCTACTCAGAGTAAAAATTTGTGCGGTTCTCAAGGCCGCCACCTTGTTTTCCATAGTGCTGTAAGAGTGAGCACTCCAACCTGCATGAGGGCCAGTAGGCCTTGACTGACCTTCCTGATTTGGGGTCGCTACAGTAGGCACATGTGGGATGTCACATGGGATCTCGTCATGTAATTAATTCAATGTCCCCCTTCTCTTTTAGGACCAAAGATGATGATTCCACCAGGAGAGTGTACGTATGCTGGCAGGAAGAGAAGGAAACCCATTCAGAAGCGGTAGCGTATCATCCCCTTCGTCCTGATATCCCTGGGGAGTGAAGGACATACTGTGCCTTCCTGAGGCGAGGGAATTTTATAGGCAAACATAGTATAAGGGAGACTTTGGAGAACCTTTCTGGTAGGCATAGTCATGGTGTCTTTTGGATCTCATGTAAAGGTGACCTGTCACTGGCTTTCTTTAGCAGGTAAGCTTACTTAAGGCAGCTTTTCTGACCTAGACACAAAGCACTGGCTGGAATTGGTGGAGGTCTCATCTGGGTGAGGGATATGCCACTAGTATGTTTGGAACATTTGTTCTCTTCAGCAATGAGTCATTCTGTCTGTGGAAAGTGCCCTAGGGTTTAGTACTCACACTCCAAATGACGAAGGCTCTTTGGGGTGTATTCTCCTCACCCAAGGTCTCTGAAGGTATAAAGATAGGGACAGCCAGGGTTCAGACCCATGTCCCCCAGGGATACAAATATCCTTGTCTGTGGTCTTTCTGCCTTTCCTGGGCTTAACCTGCAACCCACAGAATGGCCAAAGTCAGAGGTGTGTGGTGGTTCCAGCAAAACCAGGGTTTAGAACACTTTCCAGGAAATCAGCTGAATTATAATTTGCCCACAGGCTGCCTCTAGCTGTTGGTATAGAATCTGCTGTGTATATCATCACCTGCAGTTGTGTGTGCATGTGTGCATGCATGTGTGTGTGTGTTACAACACACTGTTGGGAGCAGTGAGACCCCAGATCCTGAATTTCTTGTAATTCCCTGATCTGAGTGCCTACAGCTGCTCTGAGCACGAGACCTTCAGGAGTTCCTGATGGCAGGAGAGTGGTTTCTGGTGGGTTTGGCTGGGGCATGGCTATCTCTATATAATCTGCCCTTGAACACAATAAAGGGGGCGTTCTTGGGGAATTCAAGGATGATTCGTGTCGCTGTCTCTCTGTCTGTGTGTGTCTGTGTATTTTAACCTCCAGCCCCCTTGCCCGAAGCTCTCGAACTGGGTGCCAGCGCACAGAGCACAAACACGGGGACGCGGTGCACGGCAACACACACACACACCCACACACCCAGAGAGAGAGACAGAGAGAAGGGGGGGATCTGGGTTCTGGATATGTGATACAGCTGTGTGCATGATACAACTGTGTGTGAGACTGGGATGCAACAGAATGTTAGTGGTGCACCACCCATCAGTAGCTCCTTTTAGGTGTGCTCTCTTTGTAAGTGACAGAGCTACCCCTGCTGGCCTCCAGGGCTACAAGATATTGTGTTGGTTTAATACCCTGTGGACCCAAGGCCTGACAAGAAGCTGAGGTTATCCTTAGTGTGAGACTGGATTTTGAAGGTGGTTATTTGAAGGTCGGAGCCACCAAACAGTGGAGCTTGAGGTCTTTGATATGAGGAGAGCTGGGGTAACAGTTGAGTACACTAGAGAAGACATAAAGCCCATGAGAGTAGGCATAGAAATGTGCTCCTCTATGACAGAGATTTAGATTTGTTTATATAACATTTATCTTATAAATAAGGAAAGAAAATAACTTAATCACTCAACTGAAACAGTGGTATCTGGTGGGCAATGTAGAAGGAAGTTGAGTTGAGGTTTTTTGTCTTGATAATATTTTAACTCCAATGCAAAAGCGAGACCATGTTTGAGGCATTAAATACTTACATTTTATTTTGTTTCATTTATTTTTGAGACAGGGTCTCATTATGTAGTCCTGATGGGTCCAGAATTCCCTATGTACAGCAGACTGGCTTTGAACTCGGTTATTGGCCTGCTTCTGCCTCCAAACTGCTAAGATTAAAGGCAAACACATTTTGATTTATAGATGCTCTGAAAAGATAGAAAGCTTGCCTGGCTCACAACATAGGGGCTGTCTCTGCACCCCATCCCCTTTCAAGAAGCATCTGATTTTAGAATTTTCTGTGAATGCTTCTTGAAATGTCTCTGCAGTGTATGTTTTTTCCTATATGTACTCAAGTTATATACATACTTGCACACCTCAGAGTCTTTTCCATAGGCTGTATTTTTCCTACTATACAACCTGAGTATATGAAGTGTACTTTCCAAGGGTTCATCTTAGTCCTTTGCTGTCCATTAAGCTCTGTGTTCTCCAGCTGTAACACAGATCTGTAGCATGCATGTCATCAGTCAGGATCCTTCCACCTTTATCCAGGGAGCTTAGGGATGTGGGTAAATGACACGGGCAGCCTGATGTTAGTGTCACTTGCCATGCTATAAGTGGCGAGTAATTTGTAAGAGTGTTCATTCAACCTTAATTTTTTTCTTCACACCCTAGTTACCTAGTAGCTATGAGTATTTTTGAATCCATAACTTTCTTCTAGAAGTGAATGTCAAGTATCACCACCACCATGTTTGGTGCTCCACATCTCATCTTCTCGGATTCCTGGGATTTTACCACGTACAGTGTCTTCATTTCATGACAATGTGGAAGTTGTAATACTCAAGTCCCTGATTTTTTTATTTGTTTTTCTTTTCTTTCTCCCCCAAAATAGATGTGTGTGTGTCCATCTGTGTGTGTGTGTGTGTACACACATTGGAGCATATGTACCATGGTGTGTGTGTGTGTGTAAGTCAGTTCTGTTCTTTTATTATATAGGTCCCCAGGCTCAAACTCAGGCCAGTAGGCTTGGCATTAGGTATTTTTACCAACAGCTATCTCACTGGATCACATCTGCTTTTTCTTTCCTGGAGTATAATTGAAGTACAAGTGTTTCAATTGACCTGACCAGGTTTGTAGCCAATCAGCCTTTGCCCATGAAATCACCAGCAAGTCAAGATTTCAAATATTCTGCCACTCCAAAAGTCTCCTTTTGAACTTTAGCTGTCCCCACCACCTCTGTCCCCAGGCAGCCTCTGCTCTACTTCCTGTCGCTGTGGATTTTGCACTTCTTGTGTCCTGTATAATTGAATTACATTCTTTGGAGCTACTGCTTTGCATAATGACTCTGGGCTTCCTCTGAGTTCGTGCATCAATAGCCCTATTTCTTTTTTGCCCAGCTATTCTCTGTTGCGGGAATATTCCAGTTTTGGTGGACACCTAGATTGTTCCCTGTTTGGGGGCTGTTAAAGATTCTGTGGATGTGCCACACCAATTCTTGGAGAGCTGGGTACTTCTGTTCTTCTTGGGTAAATGCCTATTGAGACAGTTGCTGCATAACACTGCTAATCTTTCCCAGAAACTTTCAGGCCATTCTCTAAAGTCGCTGCATCCTCTTATGTTCCAGTTAATGAAACAGGGTATAGGCCCCTCTATGTTCTCCAGTACTTACATTGCCAGTTTTCAGTTCCAGACAATTTCATGAATCAGTAGACTCTCAGGGTTAATCTGTATTGACTTAAGGAATAATGATGTTGGATGTATTTATGGGCTCGCTTTTCATTCATGCAGCCTCTGTGTTAAAGCATTTAAATAATTTGCTTTTTTTCATTTCAGATCATCTCACTATGTCCTGAGAGTTCTTTATATACTCTAGATACAAGTGCTTGTGATTATTTTCTTCTAATCTATGGCAGCTTTTTCATTTTGTTAATACTTGTTTTCAAAGGATATTTTGGAGGCTGGAGAGATGGCTTAGCAGGTGAAATGCTTTCTGATAACCATGAGGACATGACTCCAGCTCCCTAGCACCTACACAAATTCTGATCATGGAAATACTCATCTGTATCCCCAGAGCTGAAAGCAGGGAAACAGGTAGATCCCAGAGGTTTGGCCAGGCAGTCTAGCACAAACAGCAAGCTTCAGGCTCAGCAAGAGACTATACCACAAAAAATAAGGTGGAGAAGTCTGATGTCAACCTCTGTCTTCTTCTGACATGCACACCAGCTTATAAGCACATACATACACATGCATGAACAAATACACACATCTATACATTCACAAGACATTTTAAGCTGAACATAGTGGTATACCTATAATTCCTGTAATCAGAAGACTGAAGCAGGGTCATGAGAATGAGACCAGCCTAGGTTACATAATGAGATGTCTCAAAGAAAAGTAATCTAAAGAACTTTGGATGAAGACAATTTTATTGTGTGTGTGTGTGTCTGTATGTTCTTTTTAAATTTTATTTTATTTTTCTTTTTTTAAAAAAGAAAACAAACTTTCATTCATTTTACATACCAATCCCAGTTCTTACTCCCTTCCCTTCTCCCATTCCCTCCACCTATACTGTACTCCACCCCCACCCACTCCCAGAGAGGGTAAGGTACATTGCTTTGGGGAAGGTCCAAGACCCTCCCTACTATATCTAGGCTGAGCAAGGTATCCATCTGAAGAAAACAGGTTCCCTAAAAGTCAGTACAAGCAGTAGAGGGTAAGTCCTGGGGCCACTGCCAGTGGTCCTGCAGTCTGCCCCAGCCATACAACTGTCAACCACATTCAGAGGGTCTAGTTTGATCCAATGCTGGTTCCTTCCTTGTCCGACTGGAGTTTGTGAGCTCCCATTAGCTTAGGTAAACTGTTTTAGTGGGTGTCCCCATCATGGTCTTGACCTCTTTGCTCATATTCTCATTCCTCCCACTCTTCAACTGGACTTTGGGAGCTCAGCCCACTGCTCCTCTAAGGGTCTCTGCCTCTGTTTCCGTCAGTTGCTGGATGAAGGTTCTATGGTAACATTTAAGATATTCACCAATCTGACTACAGAGCAAGACCAGTTCGGGCACCCTCACCTCTATTGCTTAGGGTCTTAACTGGGGTCATCCTTGTGGATTCCTGGGAATTTCTCTAGTGCCAGGTTTCTTGCTAGTCCCATAATGGCTACCTACTCATCACTTCTTGCTGTTTCTTTCTTCTGGAGCCTGTGAGAATTCTATTTGGCCTCTGCATTTGCCCTGGATTTGAACTCACCACAAGCCCAGAGGACCACTTGCTTTCTAGATGGACTGTCCCTCCTGATCATTTACCCTTTCTTGAGGTACCACCTACTTCATGGAGATGATATTGGGAAGTAGAGTGTGGAGTATAGATAGCAGTGAGGTGTATCTTGGTGTCCTGAGAACCAGAGGAGGAAAGCAACATGTACTGTGACTTGTAACAACTCCTTTGCTGGACAATGCCCCACCCCGAGCCTGAGGGAGTCTTGGAGTGCACGGAACCAAGTGCAAGTTTGCTGCAGGTAGCACCCTTCATGTTCTCTGTATAGAAAGACCTGGTGGTCAGGGCTAGAGCTAGTGTAGGCACCACCCTGCATGGAGAGGCAAGGACACCTCTACCTTAGATTTAGATAGAGGTTAGAAGTAAGCTGGGATTATGGGATCATCAATGGAAAACCACCCGATTTATTAATTGGTGAAAAATCAATAAAATGTAGTCCATTTATATGCTTTAATATTACTTAGCTATAGAAAAGAATGAAGATGCAAACACACACATTATAATGAGAATGAATCATGAAAGCATTCTATTTTGTAAAGGTAGTTGGGGCACCATTATTCATGTTTCCATACATTCAGATGAAATATTCATAACAGGTCGATCCACAAGGGTAGAAAACAGGCCTTCAGTTTCCAACGCCAAAGTAAGGAGTTTAGGAGAAAGTGCACATGAGGGAGGTACTTCCCTTAGGACAGTGAAAATCTTTAGGTCAAGAAGAGATGTGCAGTGTCATGACTAGCAAATGAAAGACCGCTGACTTTCAATGACTGATCATGTTAGTTAGATGTCACTTTTAAAAAGTAACAGCTCCTAGGTTTGTTGCTGCCTGACATTATTTAAAAACTGGGGAAATTGGGCCATTGGACAACTCCTCAAAACCAGAGAGGCCTCAAATCTGAGATTCCCTGAGATCCCAGAAAGTGTTGGGCTGCTGATTCAGATGGCTGATTTGTGAAGTTCTGACAATAATGGGTCTGTTTTACTCTCCTGTCCTCTCCAACATTGGATCCACTCTGACTGCTGTGGTCTCTTCTAGACGCATAGTGTGGGTAATACTGATGGTGAATAACCAGGAAGGTTTAGTTTGTGCCACAATTAAGAGGTTCGGAAGAGGGAGACCTAAGAAATGAGGTGAAGGGATGTTGAAGGCGCCCTCTCCAGGCAGGCATTTGAAGCCAGGTCAGTCTGTCTATGAGTGAGCAGTTTCCTGAGCTATATGAAGTGGTGGACAAATGACCTCTTGGTCCTCCAGATGCTCAGGCTCCGAGAACTTTTCTGTGATGTCTGGCAGGTCCTGGGGTCCTCTTCTAGGCATTTGGACTACCAGGCCTGAGTTTTGAACTGAAATTCTTTGTTCTGGGAACGAAAAAGACTAAGAACTGTTTGGATTACCAATGGGGTGAGGAAACTGTCACCATTGTAGCATGGGAACTTGTATTTTTCCTGTCGTATATTAAGTTTGGGCTGGGTGATGTGAGACTCTGAAGGAAGCTAAATAAAAGTATATTTTTCCAGGCACATTTTTTTCTCAGACTGCCCTAGCCAGGCATCCTCCCTTCTCAGAAAACCTGACACAGAAATGCTGAGAAATGCAACAGAGCCACACAGCTCGTAACCAAGCCCTTCATGCTTGCCTGAGACTTTTTACACATTCCTCCAAAGTATCAGGTTGTAGCTAACTGGTGTGTTTTTTATCAGTTTCTTCAGAAGTGTAGGCTGAATATTCTGTCCTGCCAGCCAACTCCCAAATAACTACATAGAGACTTATTATTAGTTATAAATGTTCAACCAATAGCTTAGGCTTTTTTCTTTTTTTCTAATTTATTTTTTTTAATTTTTTTTATTTATTAAAGATTTCTGTCTCTTCCCCACCGCCGCATCCCCTTTACCTCCCCCTCCCCCAATCAAGTCCCCCTCACTAGTCAGCCCAAAGAGCCATCAGGGTTCTCTGCCCTGTGGGAAGTCCATGGACCACCCTCCTCCATAGCTTAGGCTTTTTCTAACTAGCTCTTATAACAGCCCATTTCTATTAATTTACTTGCTGTTCATGGCATGTTACTTCATTTTGTACTCATCCTCCTTCCTCTGTGTCTCGCTGGCAACTCCGACCTTCTTCATACGAGAGAACTCTCTCTCCCTCTTTGTTCTCAAGTCCTGCCTAACCTCTTCCTGCCTAGCTATTGACCATTTAGCTCTTTATTAAACCAATGAGAACAACACATCTTCACAGTGTGCGAAAACATTGTTCCACAGCAAAGGAGTGATCTCTAATTCTCATAAGCATTTTCTGACTGGGCAACAGCTTCAGTGTTCCCAGCAAGGTCACTGCAGAGAAAGGTTTCTTGCCTGTGGGGCCATTGGCTCCTGGTAGGAACCTATATGACTAAGGCCCTCTTCCCACAGGAGGCTTACCATGGGGGCTGAGAAATCAAATCCTTCCAAACGTCACCGGGATCGCCTCAATACAGAGCTGGACCACCTGGCCAGCCTGCTGCCATTTCCACCTGATATCATCTCCAAGCTGGACAAGCTTTCCGTCCTGCGCCTCAGCGTTAGTTACCTCAGGGTGAAGAGCTTCTTCCAAGGTAAGACTCTCATGTGGACATTGTCTCCATCTAAAACTGACTAAATCTCACTTGTGCCATCTGAGTTCACTTGAGTCCACTTAGGTTACACTTGTACATTGCTAGGTCTGTTCTGGGTTCCCCTGGTCCAGCTGGGTTTCTCTTGAGCTCTGTTGGGTCTTACCTGGGTCCACCTGAATCCAGATAGACCCAACTTGGGCCTAGCTGTGATGAGACACGTGCATAATGAGTTATACCACCATGCAACCCTCCCTGCCCATGCATCTAGGTGGGAAGATCCTTGGTTGTGGGCTGACTCGTTTGTGGGATTCCTCTGGCTCCAGGTCAACAGTAACACACTTGCTTCAGGGTTTTTACACACTTCACTAGGATGATCCCAAGTTCTCTACGTGACCAGATCCAGGACAACTCTGAGGATGGGGGCTTCAAGGAATAAGGGAGTCGTGCCCAGGAACAGGACAGCTCTGAGGGAGGGGGATCCAGAGAATAAGGGGATCTATTCTGAGGGAGAGTAGAACTGCCATGTGTAGTGGCTTTCTTTTGTATTTTAATAAATAATGCTTCCCTGATGATCAGAAAAGTAAAACAGCCACACTGGCCAGCCTAACAGACCATACAACAATGACATACACCTTTAATCCCAGTAGCCACACTAGTTTGTCATAGAAACCAGGTTGTATTGGTGCATGCCCTTAATCCCAGAACTAGAGAGAATTATAAATAACAGAGGAAACAGCTCTCAGGCATTCTCATTCTGAGGTTTCCTGAAGGCATGTCACCATTTTCAGACTGAGGTCGAAGTAAGAGTCAGTGGCTGGCTGCTTTGTTTTTCTGGTCTTCAGGTTGAACCCTGATTTCTGCCTCTGAGTTTTCATTAATCATGCATCAGCCACAGACAGGAGGTCTAGTGTCCACAGTTAACCTTGTTTTCACCTTGGATACCACAAGGTGGCTCAGGAATAACTTTGTATGCTCCGGCAGGCAGACTGATCTCCTGCCACCAAGCTCTAGCAAAGTCTTTCTGCTCTCTACAACGTGTGAGGCCCTGTCTTCTGGGAGTCCAGGGGCTCCCTACATCCTTAAACTCCAATCCACCATGGTTTAGAGATATTTTGTAATTTCTACTAGCTGTACTGAACCCTCAAGGATAGAAGGGCTCTGGACTTCCTGGCACACCGTGGCTTTGTTCCATGGAAGAAGGGCAGGGAAAGGTGCCTGTGAAGGACTGGGGTGGGTGGTCAGAGACAGAGCCCTTCTCTGTGTTCAACATGGTTTCTACCATTGGTCTGTATTGAGAATTATACCCATGTTCTGCCACATCATCTTGTTTCCTTAGAGATCCAGGTTTTGGTTTCCTTGGAATCTTGGGTATCTGAAGGATGGAAGAATACATAGGGGTTGAAGACATAGATAGGATTGGAATGTGGGGGTGATGCTCCCCAGCTTCTGCATTATGTGGCAGTCAAAGGTAACAGATTTAAAGAGGGTGGAAATCTAAATGGTTTGGTTTCCAGTTGCTGACTTTTCAGGTTAGTTTCATGGTTACATGTTCTGATGGAGTAAGCAGTATTACTAGACTCTGATAGCTCTACCCTCAGTGTCTTGTTGGCATGTGAGGTGTTTGCAACATAGGGACCTGCTATCCTCCTCAGCACAACCCCAGAGCCCTGGAGAAGTTTTGCTTTCCATAGTGCCTGATCATCTTGATACCCTTGCCTAAGGTCTTACACAGGCACCCCTGAGTCCTGGCTAGTCCCAGCCTTCTTGAATACCATACCACAGTGGAACTATGACAATACATTTTCATTTTGCTATCTAGATTTTCTATTTTTACCCACAAAAATATTGCTTTTACAAATTTCCTCCACTCTAGGTCTCTTTCCCATAGAACCCCTATCTACTTTGGGGCCCGCTGGCAACTCTTAGTTCTAATGGTGCTGCATTCAGTTTGCCTCTGAGGTTTGAGTGTTTTTCCAGGGCATTAGGGTGGGAAGAAATTGAGAAAATCTTTCAAAACATGCTGTGTCATCCTGATCTTGTATGGGTGTGGGAAGCTAGGATGGAATTGAAGCTCCTGACTTTGGTTTCTACAACATGCCTAAAAGTGAGAAGTGTGACCAAGTCATTGCCCATGCTCCCATGAGCATTGCTAGCAAACCTCAAGGGCAGCCCCATGTCTAGACCACTCAGATCAGACTGGGGCTGCTGCCCTGAGTAGAAAGACTCTGTTCAGAACTGAAAATGGCTTTGTTTTCTACCCTTGCACTGACACAGCACTCTCACACACACTTGACCTTGGCACGGAGGTGAAGAGTGGTCTAGTTTCATTCTTTGGCTGAGATAAAATATTCTAACCAAAGTAACTTAGGGCAGGAGAGGGTGTGTTCAGCTTATAATTCCAGGTCACAGTCTGTTGTTGGGGGAAGCCTAGGCAGGAACTTAAGGCAGGAATTTGAAGGCAGGCCACTTTCTCTTCCACGTAACATTACCTTCAACCAAGGAACTCATTTTACAACCAAAGAAGCATGGTAGGAATCGTGGAGGATGCTACTCAAAGGCTGGCTTTAAGACTGGCCAGTACTCAGCTAGTACACATTTAAGGATCATCAGCCTGGTGATGGAGCTACAGTGGACTAGCTCAAGCTTGTTGGCCCACAGGAGATCTGCTCCTGATGTTTCTGGCCAATTCCAAAGACTGCCCAAGAGTTTGTATAAATGCTCAGTTGTTAACTCAGAAGTGAAGCGGTTTGCCCATCTTACCATCATTTTCAAAGTTCTGAGTTGTGAAAGCAGTACTACTTGTGGTTGGTCTTCCCACATCACTGAAACCTGAGGATCCCACTGTGCTGAAATGAAGTAAATTCTCAGGGTCCACAGACTTCCTGAGAGTGTTGAGGCTTTTGGGGGCAAGATAACAACCTTTTAAATTTCTGTACTACACATGTTTTTCCAAGAATTCTGAATTTTGTGATCACCCTTAAGCTGTACATAGAGAAAAAAATTCTAAAATTTTTCCTGAATTCATTTCTAACTATGTGAATAGAAAAAAAATGAATCTACAATAATTGGATTTTAGTTTATGCTCATTGACCCGAATGAATGAGTTAATTTCATTAAAATTGTCATAAAAGATCACCCCTGAAAAGGACACAATCTGGAAACTCCAAACTCAGAGGGTGACAGTGACATGAGAATCGTTTGGAACATTTAGGGTTGAGGCAATGGACTATTTTAGTTTTGTTCATCTGGTCTCCGTGTAACGAGGCCGCATGCTTTCATAGATCTTTACTTCCACCATCTTCTGTGGGTAATGGTCAGGGCTGGGATTTTCCACTTTTATAAGTTTTTCTATCCACAAAAGGGGAAATTTGGGTGAAGAAAAAAATAGGGAGTGTTTTGAAGAGACAGCCTTGTCCTATTACAGGGCAGGGAGCAGAGTTGGGTCCTCCCATGCTTACGTTAGGCTGGATCCTTGGATATGTAGCACTGAGGATCAACCAGAAAATTCTGAAAAACCCTGGCCCCATTATTACAGTCTAGAAATATCGTAAGTTGGTTTGTCCCAAGCCTCCCCAGGGACTCCTTGCTGTCACCAGGACAAGGCTTAGGAAGACCTCCCAGGAGTATAGAGTCTCAAGCATTGATATTAAAGATCATGCCCAGGCCTGGTTCAGGGACAACATCTACCCAATAAGTCATTAGAATGACAAGATCCATCAGGCAAGCCACTCAAGGGAGAGGAGGTGATCCTAAAAACCAAAACCAATAAGAAAAAGAGGCAGAGAGGCCTAGCTTCACCTCTCATAAAAACCTAGGGATTTTTCATGGCTACTCTTCTGCTACTGCTGTTGTTTCCTCCTCCCTATGGCCCATGCTCACCTGGGATGGAATCTGGGACCTTTTGCTGATTCGTTTTGTTCTCAGCCTAGCACACCTTTCCACACACTTCTGGCTGTCCTTGACTTCCTGTCCAAGGTCAGCCCTGGCCGCCATGCTCATTTGAACTGAACAGGCTCCTCTGTTTCACGTTAATCCCAGATGGATAAATACAGACACACCATGACATCACTAGGTGTGACCTGGGACCTAGAACTTGGGAATACAACATCTATTAGCATGTAAAAATCAGGAGTACCTTGAGACTGCTAATGACTTTGGATACTCAGGACTGATGTATACAATTATTAAACAAAATCGTACCTTTTTTTTCTGTTCTCACTGAGGGATTACTCTTTTCCTAATGGTCTTTGTTATGGATTAAATATTTGTGTCCTCCAAAAATGTGTATCTTGAAGCCCAAATCTGCTGTGTGATGGTTTTTGAAGATTGGGCCTCTAAGTAAAGTAATAAAAGTTAAAGAAGATCCCAAAGTTGTGGCTGTGATCTTTCAGGATTATTGCCCTTATGAGAGGAACACAAGAACCCTCTCTGAATACAAACCCACAATAGCCACTCATTTGAGGACATAACAAGGTATGTGTTTATAAATCAGAAAGGCCCCCTCAAGGAGCCCACATTTGCCATCATCTTGACCATGACCTCCAGCCTCTAAAACTGTGAGAAGATACGTCTCTGTGGTCCATCCTGCCCAGCCAGTGGTAAATACTGAGAAGTGGGATTCCATTGAGACGAAAACTGAGATGTGCAAGAAAAGATTTGGAATTGGAAGCAGGAGCTCTAAGATGTGTGCTGGGGCATCTGTTTGCTGTAACACGGCTGTTTGTGCTGATCCTGGAATATTAAGAAAGGAGGAGAAGTGCAGAGCAGGCTCTTGATGTCTCAGAAAACATTTGTTATTTTGAACAAAATTTAGTATAAACGTGTGCATTAGTGAGTTATTCTGTTAAGAACTCAGCAGGAACAAAGATCTGGTTTTGGAGACCAGTGGAAATGGGAGTCTTATTCATAAGTTGTCAAAAGTGCAGCCTGACCGTGCCTTACTCTTTTGTGAAGAGTAGAGCCTGCAAAAAGATGAGGCCAGACATTCAACAGAAGAGATT